GGAAAGGAAAGTAGTTAGGAGTTCTATACTTGAACACCTAATCGACTATAACCATTCTACAGATCCACAATTTGATTTTAAGTTTGTTTATATGATTCGTTCAAATCTACTCAGATTTCTTCGTATCCAACTCTTAAAAATAGACGAAGCTCTTACCATCCAGGAGCTTAAACCAGAACTATGCATACAAAAGAAGTACGTCTTATCGTTATCGTTACCTTGGCCTTAATTATTTTAATTATCCTATTATTATTATTATTATTATTATTATTATTATTATTATTATTATTATTATTATTATTATTATTATTATTATTATTATTATTACTGCATTCTCCCCTTTACTTATATCTTATATTCTCATTGTTTTATTTGTGAATACTCATCATATCATCATATTTATTTATTTTTACACCTCTATGACCTTTAATTAAGAATGTGATTGTTCGGGCTGTAATGTGGGACCACGTTACATTTTGCGTTACAACTGTTTCCTCATTAAAATAACAAAAATAATGATTAACTGCTGTAAAATGAAAATATTTCGTTAAGATAACAAATTGAAATTATAAAGCGTTAGGTAAACATTGCTTATTTAAGTGATGGTTTACTAAATGTTATGGAAGGAAAAAAGGCACTATTGAGAATAGAAAAAGCATTCGTATTATCAGAAAATCACCAATATCAGTTAATTACAAAGTGAAGATTTGTGGCTGGACGGCTTAGCTGTTCTTCCCAACAACGAAAGCTCCTCGATTAAACTATCCAGTTCAGAGAACGACACTCCACAATAAGCATCACGATGTAACCAGAAAATTCAGTCTAAGATATAGTGACCGTTAATCAGATCTTAAGGTCGATAGTTCCTACTAAATGACTTCAAATCGACATCAATCATTAGCCAGTGGTAGTTTGAAATGTTGTGTATGAGAATACGCGATTGTTTGAATGTCATCTGGGGCTATTTAAGAATGGAAATCGGAAGGACAGAACTGATAAGATCATATCACTGTTACATCGGACCGGATTAAGATCAGTCTGCTGAATTGACGTGAGTAGTGTCCGGGTGACAATTAATCAGGAAAACTGGATTACAGACACAAACCGCTATCCAATGGACAAATGTCAAAAGACTAAGCAACTAACCAGAAAACGGGATCGTTTTGTATCTAAAAAAGTGACACATATAAACTATGTGAAATTGCAGTGAGTGTATGCTGAGACAGTATAAATGTAGCCGAAACTTAATTGTGATTATAAGACTATCAAGCTATTAGCTGTCCAGTTAATCAGCATGAATGAATCATAACATAAAATACCAGATCCATATTCTTATCAGAATTGACTTACATTTCGATGCATGCTAGTAAATTCTAATGTATCAACTTAATATACGTCGATATGCTGACTACTGAACATGTATAAATGTGACCTTAATAATAACAGTCATGTGTATTATCACAAGATCTATGTGATTTGGATGTAAATCGAATTAAACAACTACTATTACAAGTAAAGACAGCCACATAGACTTATTGACATTTGATTTAAATATCAAATCGCTGTGCACATTTTATAAACAGATAAATATGAAACTAATTATCGTTCGGAACTTTTGACGAGTGGTGCCACTATCCATCCTCTTATTTATTAATAGATTACAACAGTTTTCTCGAAGTTTGTTTGAATCAATTACACATTTGAACCCCAGATATAATAAAATGGAGTGTAGCTTGTGAATAATCGATATCACGGACCTGTTTACTTTAATACGAGCAAATCTTACCAAAGATGTATTGGAAGTGCAAAACAAGGACCAATTATTCTCAGTACACAAAATAGTAGTGGTCAACTTTAGTAGCGTTAATAGATTTATGTAGTACAACACATTCCCAATTTAATGGTTAGATGTACAAGCGAGAAAAAGGAATTTTAATGACACTTTCTGGACAAAATTATCACTTACAAAATAGTTAGATGGAATATAAAGATCAATGAATATAACAAAACCCAGGACGACAACCAATCACGATAAAAGTAATCAGAAAGAGCTAATTAGGCAATTATGGAATAATATCCTGGTCACGACATTAATTTAAGTTTCTCGATTTAACCATGTAGTTAAGTGAAAGTAATACTGATTAAGCATATACAATACAGCTCAGTAGTATTATGGGAATAGCTTGAGTAAGGTAAGACAAACCTTACTACGTTTGTTACCTAAAATCCGCATTACATAAAACAGATGTGGTCCTACAGGGCAGTCAAAATCATATATATTTAAAATATAAGTAATTGGTTTGAATTTAAAAATGTGATTACGCTAGGAAATACACCTGAAATGAATCTTTTGTTATCCAGCCAACATAAATAAATGAAGATGAAAAAACATGAGAACGAAGATAAAAGAGCATTCTAAAGCTAAATTTGCGCAAGATATGTAATCTGGGTATAGAGCTATTCACTTGCATCTTCCTATTGTTATTTAGGACTGCGATTGATCAGTCTCTTGTTAGCAAATGTGCATCCTGTGCGGACTGCCTTGATACTGCTTGAAGTCACAAGCTTTATAAGGAAAGATAGATAGTGGAAAGCAGTGGAATCTTATTTGGAACTCGTCAGCTGGATGTACCTGCATCCCAGAGTTGATGTCCACTCTGGGACTCGAACCCAGTACCATTCGCTTCAAACACTATCGCGTTTTCCAATTAGCTAGCCACTATCCATCTTTGCTTATGAAGCTTGTGACTTCAGGTAATATCGAGGCAGTCTGCACAGGATGAACATATGCCAACAAGAGATTGATCAATTACAGTCCTAAATAACAGTGGGAAGATAGAAGTAGACAACACCGAATGAATATAACTTCACCACATTGTACAAGCAGGTGGCTATCGAGACTCAGTAGCAAAGTGGATAGCGCGATGGCGTTTGAAGTGAGTGGTACTGGGTTCGAGTGAACATTAACTCTGAGACGCAGGTACATCAAGCTGACGAGTTCCAAATAGGACGAAATGCGCATCCTAGATTCCATAGCTGGTCACAATCCATCTTTGGGTATAGAACAGTTTACGGCTTGAAAATAATACGGTGGAAACCTGATGTTATCATAACTAGTCACAAGGATAATATTAAGAGGGAATCTGAAAGCTCTGTGACGTACGACCTAAAATTGCATTGCTCTAAGTTGCAATACCTCATCTCAGATGATATTAAAAACTGCAACGCAAAGCTAAATATGGGAAATTTATTTCAGAAATAAATGGAACCAAAGATTACAGTAACATTTGACATTTTGGGTAGAAGGAATCGAAATCCTATTACTAATAAATGGTTGTGTTAGCATTATGAAATGAAAATCAATGAAGCAAATATACGACCCATACCAACCGTAAACTGCAGGTGAAGCTGTTAATGGTTTTTTAAAACGACTTTCAACTGATGTTTATGGTTATAACTCTGCTTTTTTTTTACTTCTTTATGTAACCGAGTAGCATCCTTTACATGATGTGTCTCAACGACAAGTAAAATAGCTTGAAATTATTGAACTTCTTACACCAATTGACTAGTAATGTAGAGCTCAAGACTTGGCAATAAAACATTTTAGGGAACTTCACGCCATGGGTAGTGCAACAAACTATTTATTGCTAAATTATTCCTCTTAAATATAGCAATATACATATATCGTTGGAGACACAATTACGATAAACTGTCACTTCAGTGGAATATTTTGATATATTGTACGTCGATTTTGTTTCTAGATTATATTTCTTGATATAATCTATAGAGAATAACTGATGTTTGTGTGAACTAATGATTCCTTTGTACTTGATCTATGACTGATTTCGGATTTCAAATACAATACGTTCGTATGTGCTCACCTAGTACCGCTTCATTTAAATTAAGTTATTTCGGGGATTCCTAGTTCGTACGATAATTGAAATACTTTTAATTATCACACTAACTTATATCAAGTGCCTTTAGACATATATAAACTGCACTTGAAACCTGCATTAGTCATCAAACGCTTTTACGATCATGCTCACGAATTAGTCTGGATATCAATTAAATATTCCGATGTAGTTAAATATACATGCTATCGACACCAAAAAATGTATGGACAGGGTTAAAACAATGACCGAGGGAAAAACTTAGTCAATACTATTTTATGTGCAGATATAAATTGGTCAGTTATCAGTATGAGCAGTTTGTGGAGATTGTAATAATATAACAGTTGAAATCACGAGTCGATCTAACCTAGACCATCATTGAAAACCTGGAATCACTTGATGGCCGTCTCGTCCTAGTAAAGTACCCTTCAACAGTGTGTGTCCACAATCTTCCATGTGGAATTCAAGAGTGAAAAAACTAAAATCTCCACAAATGCACTATACTGATAGCAATCTTCCCCTTACTAGTAACCGGCTTTGAGATGTCAGTCGTAGATATCTGATGAGAAGCCGTGACCACCACAGCCAATCGACAAAGGGTTGCGCAAGATTATGATTTACTGAAGTTAGACACGAACACAGTTCAATGCCAGTCGTTGTCTAGAATTTGAGTATCCGCACGATAGATCGAATGACCTGGTTCCAAGTCCCATAATAAGACAAGACGGTCGTCCAGTGCTTCTAGATTTCCAATGATGGTTTAACTTAGATTGACTCGTAATTTTAACTGTGAAGATAAATTGGTAAGAACTGAAAAAATTAATTGAATATTTATGAAGATTTGGGCTTACATGTTCAGTGTATGATAAACTCAAGAAATGAAAGTCATGTGTTAGGAAAATATTCTGGATTTCCACAAATCAGGTTATTAAATAAAGCGCAAATAATAATATACAAGGAAAAGAATCATGATAATAAACGTATATGTATGTTTGTAGTATAGTTAATCTCTGTGTGGAATTCACATGATATTGAACAATCTAATTTACCGTTCATTCAAAAACATATCAAACTATCGTAATAAGGAAAAAAACGCACCAAATTCGTATTTCAGCCCAGATTACTTTCAATTTCACAATTTGTGGCATCGGATATCCTTCTTGCTAAACCGGCATTCTTCTTCTGAACTTCTTTTAGCCATGGAGCTAAATTCTCATCTTTCTGTTTCAAACTTTGTTTCTGTTTTTTCTTCATAGCAGCTTCTTTTAACCATTCAGGAGCTCCCTCACCGTTCTTAGACATCACGTCTGCCCATCGTTTTTCCACGTCTTTCTCTCGTTCTTTTTGGGCCTGCTTCTTTATGACCTCATTTTTCCATTCACATGTTTGACTCATTGCTGAAGTATAGTGGATCCACCAACGTACAACTGAAGTAGGATACAAGGTCAGACATGAAAGTGTGGCTTCATTCCAATAAATATATTGAAATTAAATGACCAATCAACTGTTGAATCAATAATTAAACGGGAAGGAAATTAAAGTATGGTAACCAAAATATGTATAATAACAGAAACTATCAACCAATAGTAATATTACCTTAATAGACCAATTAATTATTAGTAAATTATCGATATTCATAATCTGTTTCTCTCGAACTATAGATAAAATCTAGAGCACGTTCAATTACGTTTCCTTCGTTTAATCGCAAACAGGAAACCTCCAAGTATTCCTCGTTTTTATATGTTGGTATTGATACATCCGTATTTTAATTTAATTGTTGGAAGGATATTACTAAAATACTTAAATTAATTCTGATGAAACAACTGTTACAAACGTTTGGTTTTCTCAGAGGTTTATTCTGTCACATTTTAGCAGTCGATAATGGAAAACACACACAGATCAGTAAAATCAAACCGTTGGTTGAAAACACTTCAGATTATCTCTAAACATTTAAAATCAAACACAGTACAGCTCAACGTCTAGTTACAAAGACTGGTTTCCTGATTGCAATTTGATCGATGGTCTAAAGAGAGCTATACCATAGATATCATGAATTTTATTCATGAACTCAACTATTGAATTACTACGATCTCCACCATAACCCCTTCTTATAAAAATGAAAATGCAAAACAATCGTGTGAATAAAATGTACAGTAGGAGGATTTAATCTTGTCAATTGAGATAATAATAATAGCAACTATTATCGTTATTATTATTATTATTATTATTATTATTATTATTATTATGTTGTTGTTGTTGTTGTTGTTGTGTAATAAGAGGGGTGTTATCACGGTAATTACGATATACAAATGAAGAATTCATTTGAATTGAGTATGATAGATGCGAAGATTAAGATAGATGTAATCAAAAATAATGTGAAGGGCGTAATAATTTTGTGGTAAACTGTCAAGTCAGAGTAATTGTTCACTCAAATATTCTTAATTTTTTAACATTCTATGGGGATTTTTAAACTATTGAACTAACGTTCATTTTTGTTTTGGCCAAAATCTAAACGCATTTGGTCCGACTCGACTGTCACAGAAAAAGATTACTAACTGTTCCTTTTAAAATATAAATCAGTCCCTATGCCCTGGATATATATAGCTTTAGGAAATTTTAGAATAACAGTTACTATGCTTATCAGTCACCCTGAAAACATCTAAATTACATTGTTATAAACATTGATTTCTTTAAAAAGTAGACATTTTAGGACGTAACTAGGAAACTTAACTAAGACATTCCTTTTTGTCTTGAGTATATAATATCTGTTGCAGAGATACACCAAGTGAAGTAGATAATTGGTTCTAAACTGAGAAGAGTACGAGTCAACATTTGCCTGAGTATAAGATGTTGGGTTTTTATGCAACGAGCGTTCTGGGTCCCTTAATGTTTATTTTTTTATTGTTCATGAAAATCATAACTTTGAAAGATGAAAGAAATCCCGATCGGTTTTCTTCTGACTCTTATATATTAGTTTCTGGTCTGAAGTTTTTCTGTGTTTTTGGAGTATTACAAGATAGAGTCATTTTCAAAGTAATAGAAGCTGGGTATATGCATAACTATCGACTGAATCATTCCCAATCACCAGTAAGCATTATGCAATATTACGTCAACTTCTAATACAAATAAGGTTGTAAGAAGCTGAATAAAATTCATGATATCTATGGTATAGCTCTCTTTAGACCATCGATCAAATTGCAATCAGGAAACCAGTCTTTGTAACTAGACGTTGAGCTGTACTGTGTTTGATTTTAAATGTTTAGAGATAATCTGAAGTGTTTTCAACCAACGGTTTGATTTTACTGATCTGTGTGTGTTTTCCATTATCGACTGCTAAAATGTGACAGAATAAACCTCTGAGAAAACCAAACGTTTGTAACAGTTGTTTCATCAGAATTAATTTAAGTATTTTAGTAATATCCTTCCAACAATTAAATTAAAATACGGATGTATCAATACCAACATATAAAAACGAGGAATACTTGGAGGTTTCCTGTTTGCGATTAAACGAAGGAAACGTAATTGAACGTGCTCTAGATTTTATCTATAGTTCGAGAGAAACAGATTATGAATATCGATAATTTACTAATAATTAATTGGTCTATTAAGGTAATATTACTATTGGTTGATAGTTTCTGTTATTATACATATTTTGGTTACCATACTTTAATTTCCTTCCCGTTTAATTATTGATTCAACAGTTGATTGGTCATTTAATTTCAATATATTTATTGGAATGAAGCCACACTTTCATGTCTGACCTTGTATCCTACTTCAGTTGTACGTTGGTGGATCCACTATACTTCAGCAATGAGTCAAACATGTGAATGGAAAAATGAGGTCATAAAGAAGCAGGCCCAAAAAGAACGAGAGAAAGACGTGGAAAAACGATGGGCAGACGTGATGTCTAAGAACGGTGAGGGAGCTCCTGAATGGTTAAAAGAAGCTGCTATGAAGAAAAAACAGAAACAAAGTTTGAAACAGAAAGATGAGAATTTAGCTCCATGGCTAAAAGAAGTTCAGAAGAAGAATGCCGGTTTAGCAAGAAGGATATCCGATGCCACAAATTGTGAAATTGAAAGTAATCTGGGCTGAAATACGAATTTGGTGCGTTTTTTTCCTTATTACGATAGTTTGATATGTTTTTGAATGAACGGTAAATTAGATTGTTCAATATCATGTGAATTCCACACAGAGATTAACTATACTACAAACATACATATACGTTTATTATCATGATTCTTTTCCTTGTATATTATTATTTGCGCTTTATTTAATAACCTGATTTGTGGAAATCCAGAATATTTTCCTAACACATGACTTTCATTTCTTGAGTTTATCATACACTGAACATGTAAGCCCAAATCTTCATAAATATTCAATTAATTTTTTCAGTTCTTACCAATTTATCTTCACAGTTAAAATTACGAGTCAATCTAAGTTAAACCATCATTGGAAATCTAGAAGCACTGGACGACCGTCTTGTCTTATTATGGGACTTGGAACCAGGTCATTCGATCTATCGTGCGGATACTCAAATTCTAGACAACGACTGGCATTGAACTGTGTTCGTGTCTAACTTCAGTAAATCATAATCTTGCGCAACCCTTTGTCGATTGGCTGTGGTGGTCACGGCTTCTGACACAAATATTGATTTGAATCTACATTTGAGCACAGAAAAAATGAGATTCCAGCGAAGAAATCTTTCGTTTCGGCGAAATCGTCCACTTGAACGGTACTTTGGTATGTATAATCATATGGTAAATATATCTATAGAAAGACAGAAACGATTGCATCATGAAGTTACGCAACATTTCAAATATCAAATGATGTCGCTAAATAGTCAATGGTTTAGAGAAGAACGAAGGGAATAAAATAGATTACAAGTCAGAATTATGGAAGATAACTGTCCAGCTGACGGATATGAAGAGAAATGAAAAACTTAAAGGTAATAGTAATGACTGAATAACAATCACGGGAAATTGTTAAAGGATAATACTAACTGATGACAAAACAATAATAGAAAGAAACGAGACCGAAGCATACTACATATGGCAATTGATATCAATGAAAAATGAGAGGTTGGATGTACCGTTTTTGTACGCAGATTTGGGGTGGAACTGGTGGATTACCAACGCCTGAGTATTGGATAAATTTTTGATTCAGACCCCCTTCAATCCAGCTCCTTCGATTGAGTAGATTATTTTGACGAAAGACTCCTTTGAAACGATGTGTTAACACGTTATTAAGTGCTCTTGTATTGGACTGATGGCTATTTTGCATTCTGCTGATTAAAAATCGTGACGGGTAATGTGTTGAAACGCATTTAGGAAGTGATTACTTCGTGCGGCCAATGTAATCTAACTCAAAGAAGCAAGCAAGTTAATTGATGCACATGTATGTGGCCCAAGGCGGAAGCTTATCCTTGACAAATCCACGGATGATTGACCGGCTTGAGGACACAATATTAACCCTAGCTGAATTGGTTTTAATAAGGGATTTGGAATTCCGTTCATTCAAGAGTTCGGCAGCTGTATCTCATAAAAAGAGTTTTCTTATGAACTGTCGGTGCGTTTTCAAAATGTTGTCTTGATGTTAAGTTTTTACCGAAAAATCTAAACGGATAACCATTTATGATGAGTATCTGTCGAAGTTGTAGTAGTTCGTCGTCTACTGCGTCATTAGAACATATTTGCCTAGTCCTTGAGGATAAAGAACGAACTATGTTTCTCTTTCCATTCAATAGGACCCATATATGGAAATTCGTATACTGACCACTCAAGGCCGGGTTTTTATATATAGATCTTTGTAAAGAACCATCTGACTTCATTTTCAACAGAACATCAAAGAAATGAAATTCCTCGCTTGCCTCTGCTTCCAACGTGGATTAAGTTGAATGATGACAACTATTGGATCGACCCAATATTTCATTGAAGTTTATTTCCTCTCCACAAATAACGAAAGTATCATCCATATGTCTCTTATATAAATGAAGTCTTTCAATTATTGGTCGAAGTGACGTATTTTCCAGATTGGCAATGAACACAATCAGCCAAGAAGGAGTCCAATGGTGAACCCATCGTAACTACATAAATCCGTCTATAGAAATCATTACTGAATCCGAATAGCACATTGAGAGTACATAATCAAAGTTTTAGATAATGTTTTGGGATACATATAACAAAGTTGTTATTTTCAATATAGTTACATAAAAACACAGTTTCTATAATAAATGTATTTTTAATTTAATAGTTCATTCCACGAGTCAACTGAAACTAGACGACCATGAAAAACCTGAAAGCACTGGACGGCCGTTTTGTCCTAGTATGTGTGCGCACTGCTGAGGAGTCCTATACTAGGACGAAACGGCCGTCCAGTGCTTCCATAGTTCCATTGTGGTCTAGCTTCAATTGACTTATGAATTCAAGTATTAAATTACTAAAATATCCACAAAAACTCTCTCTGATTATAAAAATATTTTTTGTTATATCTCGATGAGTAGAAAAGTTAAATTTTTGACGTTTCATGACTTAATGTAAGCCACTTTTTCAGAGTAAATAAATAACCGAATTAAAACAAGTTTAAATAGTACGAGGTACGACAGAAGAATTACAACGGATATTGAAGACGTACAAAATTAAAGCTTTATATAAGACAATTGACACTCTAAGAAACGCTTTAGTTAGAATAAAAGATACGATCCCGTTTACTTCCACACAAAATTGTGTCTGCATATTAGGTTGTGCAGATTGCGATGCGTTCTATATTGGAGAGTCTTCCCGTGAAATCTCGACTCGTGCCAAGAAACACTTAAGTTACACAAAAAGACCTAATAACCCTGTAAAATAGGGAAATTTACAGATTAAATCAGTAATAGCAATACATACTATTTTCAACAATTACCAAATTGATATTAAAAATATTAAAATAATTTAGAAAGGCTTTCCCAACCATAAAGAAAGGTGAGCAGCCGAAACATTTCATATTATGCTAAATCTCTTTGCCCTCAATAATAAACAAGGTCTGAATGTTCATCCAACTTGGACTATTTATCCAAAAATCCACATTTGAACTTACTTATTTTCCACACAATCTACACACGCACACACCTCACTACTTCATATAAGAACTTTCATGAAAATTTGATCGAACAGTTTCACAGTATTTGGGGGACGAGTTGATGTGAGACATTAAGGAGGAAGAATGTATACATTTTCATACCCAACTTCTGACACACAAATTAATACAGTGCCCTGTCATGCAAATTCAAATTGACCAAAACTAACTTAACATTGACATGCTCATGCATATTGTGATTTTGATTGTACCAAAATATTGGTTTTTTTTTTGTACTATTTAAACTTGTGTTAATTTAATGTCGGTTATTTATGTATTCTGAAAAAGTGGCTTGCATTAAGTCGTGAAACGTCAAAAATATAATTTTTCTATTTATTATTAAATCTCTACCCAATGGTCAATTTATTTGAAACTATCAATTCCAATCTTGGTGTTGATACCTACATAGTTTCTATATTCATATATTTACCATATAGCCATAAATGCAAATGTACAACTCAAGTAAATGATTCCATTCGAAAGAGAATTTTCGTCGCTAAATTCTCTTTATTTCTTTTCAGTAACACAATGGGTTATTTTAACTATGGAAAAAAACAAATATCATGAATTACTCAGTTTGCTTTAGGTAGAAGAAGTCTACTAAGCCATATCAACAGATTCCATATAAATTTATATATTTATCAATGAACTTCTTATAATATATATAATTGTGTTAAAAATACATCTAAGTAGTCATAAAAAATATCAGCTCTGAGTCAAAAAAGGAACTACTGATCTAAAAGTTTAATTATCAACTTTATCGCTTTATCTAGTTCGCGCCGAAACCCACACTCTAGTTTTATAAGTTATTACCATCTGTTTACAATTGGTTCATGGTTTTTTTCTAATACTCATCAAGAAGACAATCAGCTTTCACACTTCTCGTCTGTAATCTATTTTCATTTTATTGCTTTTCATCATTCACTTGTGAATTGCGTAACTTCCACTTGATAGTTGGAAAGAAGCTTTTGATAACTCATAAGAACTTTGGTCTAACTTTAAGCGAATAGTTTTACGGCAGTTGGGCTCCAAATGAATATAAGACATTAATAAGGAAATTTATATTCGTAAAAATATCAGCGATTGAAATTAAAGTAAATTCAACATTTCGGTCGGCAATATGGTCCGACTTTTTTCTACAAATTATAACTCAACATAAAAACTACCAAACATTAATACATGGTTCACCTGTTAACTGAATGCTAAACAAGTCGTACAATTCGTTTAACAATGTTAAAAGTGAGATTTATTGTGGTGGGTATGAGATATTTGCTGTGAGAAGTTGGGAAACTTTTATATAACCTGTCTACTTAATTGTTGACTTAGGTTTGTCAAATCATTACAGATATTATCGTACAGCCTCAGTAAACAATATCATCAGAGAGAAAATTCTCTTCTCTGAGTCACTTTAATTTTCCTTATAAAGTTAAATGTATCAAGAAGATTGATGATGTACTTAAAGATAACAATTACTACCAGATCTACAAAACAGACCAAGGAATCTCCACTGAGATCGTTCATATCAACAGCTTTAATACACAGACTAGTGACCACAGTTCGACCAAAATTCAAACAAAAGTTTAGGATGTCTAAATGTCATTTCGTATCCTTAAGAGATTAAATCAAAAACGAACATAACATGTGCAAAAACACATTCGATGATGTTAACCAAAGGAGAACAGTGGGATAACGGGATTCCATCTATGAACGTCATAGTAAGCGGAAAATGAATTCAGATCGTTAATGTTGGGGCTGTTTAATATAAAGTGTTAACTTGAATCAGTTTATAAGTGAAACAAAATTGTACGATAAATGATCAGAATAAATATGGTCAACATGAGGTGAGAGAGAAAATAATGGAATTGATTATATATAACAAACAACAATTCTCAATTCACATATTACAATTTCCAAATGATGTACTCTGCCTCAAAAATCTGGCCAATCTTATGGGTTAATAATTTGGATTTATAATTGTAGAACCTGATGAGAAATTATTGCAAAGAATATTCTTCGTTCAAACATTTGTGTTTTAAATAAAGAAGAGCTAGTAGATCGTTGCAGCACATTCACTACCCGAAAGATTGGTGAAACATATCTTCTGTCTATTTTCTGCATAAAAAGAAACTCTTTCATCCTCATCAAATGATATTGACCAAAATGACCAACCATTATAAAACTGTTCACGGAAACTCAAAACTGGATTGAGAAAAACATCTAAAAATTACGACAAGGATTTCGAAACCATTTCAACACCATTTCAACAACTGTCAAAACTCTTCGTGTGTCCTCTCAAGAAAGAGTAGTATCGAACAATATTTGTTTTCAGATTTGACACATTCTCGTCAGAGCTATTTCCTTCCTTACTAAAGTGTCTGCTTGACTATCTATTGAATAACGTGTTGCGTTTCATGAAAATAGACTTAAGTTCCACTAGTGAATAAAATGTAACAAATCATTTGTTTGTGACGCTTGTACCAACTGTTCTATCTAACAATCTATTTGAGTT